TGGAGCAGACAGGTTTGGTGGGGAGCAGCTCTCTCTGGAGGAGCTGGGTGGGCTGAGGAGACCCCAACAGAAGGAGCTCAGCCCCATCCTGAGGCACTGCCACTCCCTGGCTCCTGGAAAATTGCTGCTCCTCCTGCTTGGTTCTTAGCTCAGAGCAGAGGCTGAGGGTAACAGGACACGGGATTGGGACTTTGGGGGGTCTTGGGTACTCTTACAAACATCTTTCCTTCTGTGTCCGGTCATAGCAGCCTGTAGAAGAGGATGAGGATGAGGATGAGGATGAGGATGAGGATGAGGATGAGGATGAGGATGAGGATTTCTCCCTCCCATGGCTCCAGAGCCCAGCAGAGGCTCATGTTCTCCCCATTACCCTACTCCATGTCCCCATCCCAGGTGTGGTGATGGCAGAAGGTGGGAGGTGAGTGCTGTGCCCTCCCCAAACAAGCAATCCCTGGGGTAACCCCCGAAATTCCCCCCTGGTGTGCACCCCAATATGTTCTGCCCAGGTAGGGGAGCTCAGAGGGCCCTGGGCTCTGTGACTGTCCTGGCAGCTGCTGATCCAACCTCCCAACCCCATCCTGGCTCCCAGGGCCTCCCATCAGCCCCAATTTCCTGCAGACCTGGTGATAAGAGGCTGATCCTCAGCCATGGAAATCCGATGCCCCGGTGTCAGGGAACACAGCTCCTGGGGGACCGGGGAAATCCGGCTGAGAATGAGCAGATCCCGCTGCTTTCCATTGCAAAAAAATCCCTTTGGAGGATGGATGGGGTCTTAGTGCCGCTCACCAGGATTGTCCTGGGCTTCATCCCCCTGATCTGTGCTGGCAGTGCTGGATTCTGTGCGTTAAAAGCTTCCAGGTGCACCAACACCCACTGAAGCACCCCAAAAATAACTGGGTGCTCACTGTGAATTAATGTCATCTCTTTTTTCAGGCTGTGCTGTGGTTGCTGAATCCCAGGGACTCGTGGATCCCAGCTGCTGTCTGGGAAGGTGAGTCAGGGCTGTTCTCAGCTCTCCCTTCCTTTGAGGTCTGTCCTGGCCGTGCCCCAAAGGAGGAAGTGAACCCCAAAATCTCCCTCCCAATCTGCTCTGGGGGCACCTCCTGGGCAGGTGGTGGGTCTGTGGGTTTTGTCTGATGAAGGGACTGGTGGGATACTGGTTTTACTGGACCTGGAGGGGATGTTTCTTACCACAGCAGCCCTGCAGCAATGCCCCCTGCCCAGAGAGGACTGGGATAATTCCAGTTCATTCACTGCCCTGTTTTCTCATTCTCTGTCTGCCCTGTGTCATCCCTCTGCTCTGCTGGCCCTGGGGACTTTGTCCTCCCAGCCAGTCTTGAATTTGGGGTGGATTTCTCCCATTTCAGGTACCCACGTGAATTCTGACCAGGAGTTTCAGCCTGCACATCCCAGAGCTGACCAGAGAGCTGAACCCATCTCCAGGTTCTGCTGTCTGTTTCCCAAGCAGGGATTGATTCAGCTCCAGGACTGCTGGTCCTGGAGGGCCAAGGGAAGGTCCTGAGGTAGGAAAACCAGACCCCTCTGAAAATCTGCTCTGCTGTGGACAGTGCCCTGCTTGGAGGTCTGTAAATCCAGATCTGATCCACACCCAGAAATTGCAGTAATTTAATGGAGCTGCTTTCTAGATTGGTTCATCCCTGTGCCAGCCGCTGCAGCGATTGAACTAAACTGATTTTCTTGGCCAATTCCTTGTTTGGGAGTGCTGGAATCCCCTGCTCTGCTGCCAGTCCACGGGGGCAGTTTAACCTCCCTGGGATGGCTGCTCCCGTGTGATCGTGCCTGGGTTTAAGAGCTGGGTTTTATCCCAGAGAAACTCCAGGGTTTGTCTCGTCTCTTCCCTTTATAGCCTGGAGAATGTGATCCCCCATTGCGAGGGGGCAGCTGGGGTCTGCACAGGGTCTGGGGGGAATTTGCAGCCCCTAGAGAGGAATATTTGGGATCTGCATCAGGCTCAGGAATATTTGGGATCCACATCAGGCTCAGGAATATTTGGGATCTGCATCAGGCTCAGGAATATTTGGGATCTGCATCAGGCTCAGGAATATTTGGGATCTGCATCAGGCTCAGGAATATTTGGGATCTGCATCAGGCTCAGGAATATTTGGGATCCGCATCAGGCTCAGGAATATTTGGGATCCGCATCAGGCTCATGCTGCTGCCCGACAGAGCCCAGACGTGGGCAGGGCCCAGAGCCGAGCCCGCTGCGGGAGAAATCCTGGCTAAGCAGCCAAGATCTTCAGGTTTTCCGCCCAAATAAAGTCTCAGGCAGAAAACGGGCGGTATCCAGGGCAACGGCGATGCCTCGGAGCTCGGGTGTGCTGGGACGGCATCTGGGATCCCTCGGGAGCTGCCCTGGGCTGGGCTGGGCTGGGCTGGGCTGGGCTGGGCTGGGCTGGGCTGGGCTGCCCTGCCCTGGGCTGGG